ATTTTATCGCAAGTCATTTTGGACTCTTCCTGTTGGTCCATTCATCGTCATAATGTAAATGGCAGCTGTTGTGTTCAAATATTTGTTTTGTCTTTTTTGTACAATATTTTACATTTTTCTAGTACTTTAATGCACTTTTCCTTTTATAAGCTCTGTATGGTTTTATGTGCCAAAAGTGTCAAATTTAATTTCTACAGGACCAGTTTACTCTCTTTATCCTTTAGGATTAAGTGCTCATATCCCACATTTTCTCTTTCTCGTGTTTCTACCGAAGTCCACTTACATTTGTGCGACTTTATCTAAAACAGTCATTTCATGAGTGATTTTTGTAAAGGACATCTTTTCTTCCTTGTATTGTGCCTCATTCAAAAAGCAGTCCAAGCTGAAAGGTGGAACAAACATTTGTGTTTGGACTGAAACTCATCAAGGATGTCCGTAAAAATAATCAATAATGACTCCTTTCGGATACCTGGGCGCTTTGGAAGGCTGCAGTGATCTGTTTGCTTCCTGACAGCCAGGAATAGCACAACATTTAATCAGTTGTGAAGAGAGCAGTAGATTTGGCTTTGGGAAGAAAAAAATTCTTTTGGGTTTTGGGGCAAGTAGTGTCCTTTAAACATATTACCCTAGAAATATGATTTACTGACATCTTTATCATAACAACAGAACGTTTTTATGTGAATTGAAGAGACTATATGTGAATAATAAGATCAATAACAGCAATGATAACAATAATAATAATTGACGTCACAACATTTAATTATACACAAAATTGACATTTCGAGTGTTTCTATTTTTACCGTCAGTTGTCTTTTGTTATAGTTTGTGAAACAAGTGAAATCATTAGGACATAAATTTATAGAGGCCTCTATTTCATTTTATAATACAATATTTAATGTCTGTCATTTGATTACTGACCCAATTTTTGGAAAATGGAAAGACTAGAAATGATTTGACATATAAAATATACAATCTGTAAAACTGACTGACTGATACAAGATTTATGAGGGGAGCTATTTTTATTTGAGGTTTCCTTTTTTAATATTATAAAAACAAAAGTGATTGCTGTTCTAATTTATTTGCCCTAATTGTGTAGGTTTATCATCATCATCATCATCATTATCATTATCATCATCATCATCATGATAAACTCGTGCAATTGTTTAACTTCAAATGGGAATATTTCATAAGGAGGTCATTTTGAAAAATCATTCATTAAGTGGTCATATCTGTCATCAGTGTTAGTGAATCACTCACTTAATAAATAAATAAATAAATAAATAAATAAATAAATAAATAAGGGCATGATTGTTGTCATGTATGATTGTTCTGAAGCACTGCTGTAACGCAAAATGTGCTATACACTGTATGACTATGCAGAAAATTTAATTCTCCAGTAAAATTTCTGGTAATATCATTAGAAAATTGTTCTAGTTCAAATTAGATTAGATCAGGCTGACCAGTTCTGTCACTGATTTAACCCACAGAAGTGAAGGTCATAGTGCACTATAGCCATAAAATCCAAGTTATCCATGCATAACACAATCTTATCAATGAGCTACCATCCTAATATTTTAGTTATTTTGCTCTTGTGAAAAAAATGGATGGCATACTGCACAGGCTACAGTCTAGCATCATCCTGTACTGACCACTGCTGCTCAGTGTTACTTCGCCAGGGGGCAGACTGGCAGCAGCTGATTGCAGTTTCATTAACTGAGGACCAGATCTTGGTCATTCATCTCAGTAGAGGGTCCATTCACCAGTATGGTACAGTGTACTGTGAGTAAATCAGTGGTTATCTACCATGCTTCTCCAGATATGTCTCCTGCAGGGAAGAGGGTCAGCTTTCACATTGGGGTTTTCAGGTTAGGGCATTTGTTAAGGAAAACTACAAAAGGTTGGGGAAATAAATTCATGCTTTGATGTATTTTGTATGTAAGGAAAATGATGATATTAGGCACCATTTACTTTTTAATACTGAAGTTTAAAAAGTATATATTATAATGTAATATTAAAGCTGAGACTGATTCACAGACAGAAGTGAACAGTTAAAACAAGAATATTAAAAAAGCAAGAATGTTGTTAAAAATCATCTGTCACTGTCATGTTTTAGTCTGCATAACTACAATAATGCAACCACCATCTATAGAAACTTCCTTGCACGTCCACTCTTTGGCTACTTTATGACAAACCAAAGTCCACTATGAATGTGTACAATTACAGACTGAAGCCCATCTGTTGCTGCACAGTCTATCAGCCCCCTGCATTCATCATTGCTGAGTTTTTGACCATAGGACTAATATTATTTGGGTGTCAGAAGTCAAGTAGAACTTGTAGAAGTGTAGCTGTGCACTTTGGATCCACCACCCAAAAATATTTAGCCAAGAGTGGTCCAAAAGTGGTACCTATAAGATGAGGGTTTCTAATAATGTGGACAGTATATGGATCATTTAAATGAATGAAAAATAAAAAAGAGCCAAGAATGTTTTGGTCTACAGAGATTAAGTGTGCCTCTATTTTCCAGGGGTAGAATTTTAGTTGCTTCCATTAGCCACAAAAAAATGTTAACATTAAAGTTTTCACCAGTGTTTACTCGCCTGTTTGCTGTTTTAGTTTTCCTGGTGATCATTGAAGTCACACTTTCAGCAGTGTAAACAAATACTAGCTCATACGACATTGCTTCAGCTTCTTCAGCTTCAAATGGGATCATCTCTATTTTTCCAGGGACCCTTATTTTTTCATTGAAATATCTGTATTTGCTGGGCTTCTTGTTCCCCAGCCTCAGTGTTCACTCTTCTTGTAATTTGAGTCCTATATTAGGGGGCTTATTTTCCATCATTGAAATGTTGACGGGAAATAGCTCAATGTTCCCATATTACCTCAATCATATTTCCTCAACATGAAAATAAGAGTAATGTTCATATTCTGATGTTACATGTTCAGTAAATAATATCTGAAATTGTGTTTATGTGCATGCTGCTGCCACACAGATTCCCTTATTAAACACATATGTTCATTTCAGTGAACAAATATGAGAATATTTTTGTCAATAATTTTATTTGAACTTCACAATATTAACAACATATTGAAACATTCCCAATACTGTTGGTGATAACAAGTCTTTATGCACCTTGTTAACAACAGGGTGACCATACGTCCAGGACATGTCCTCGTTTTGGGACTTAAAATACATTAAGCTGTGATTCTAAATTGCATAAAATATCCAAGACTGTGGCTTTGCTTTCATGTCGTCTTTGTGGGATAAGCAGTTATACACATGGGTTATATACATGGTCTAATAAGGAAAGGGTGCATTTTGTGTGCATTTATTATAGTCTTGTGCTTTGTGCTTTTTAATATTGCTAAAGTGGGACACTTTCAGAAATATTGCTTTCTTTTTGTCACTTTTGCCCATGACACCCATATCATGTTTAGATTATACCTTTATAAAAAGCTTCAAATCTTCCTTACGCCATTCAGAAAAAAAAGAAATATAAAACAGGCAGGATGTCTGCCTACTATCGATAACTGTAGTTATTGTTGATGTAAATAAATAACAAACACAACAAAATGTTATTCACTGATAAGCCTCCTAAGTGGCTGTCCCAGTTTACCAGTAACACCCTGTGCCACTTTGCCAATACATTATTGGTAAAGTGGGACAGAGGAAACATTTCTACCACATCCATGTGTAACATTTACAAATCCTAAATCAAGTTTTACTTCCAGCAGTATAATCTGCCTTAAACTATATCATTTCTCATAATTTTCATGATCTGGTTTTAAATGGAGTATTCCACTCATTGGGCACTGAAATCACAAACACAGAACCCCTACAACTTCACACCTCGCCTCCACCTCCAGATAAGCTCAACATTTTTTGATCACTTAAGTATTATTGCATGAAGATATAGAGGATCTGGGTTACCCATACTCACCATGCTTAAATACCAGAAAGCACAGGAACATGCACACAAGTACATAAACGCACAAGTGTGGGCTTTGGGACAGGGGATGCATTCTGGTCACAGTTGTTTGTGTTTTCCACTATATGTGCGTATGTGCATTTGATCTGTGCACTTGGAGGACAGCAAACTTCTAAAGCAGACCACTGACCTATTTTTTAACTGGTAACTGCTAGACATACAGACAGGTAGACAGGTAGATGAGATGTATTAATCTCCAAAAGAGAAAGTGGATTTGTCACTCACAAGCAAAAGAGAAATCAGCCATAAAACACTCAAAATAATGGATGAATTTCAAGGAAGCCAAATAAAGTCAATAGGGGAAAAGTGTGATACTAAAAATGCCAATGAAACATTTTACAGCTAATGGCACAAATGACTTTCTGAAGTGTTCTGTAGAATATTGGAATATTTACCCTTGCTCTTTTTTTGACTATATTCAATATAGCGTGAAGAGGATGACTTGCATTTGGAATAAAATACATCAAAATGTTCAAAAAGGGTAGAAAAACTTTTTCCATTCTGACTGTTTCACTTATTCTGGCTGACTGCCTGGCTTGTATAACTGGAATGGCACTGGCCACCCATTGGCTGCACATTTTTGTTCCACCCCTTGCTTCAAAATGCCAACCCCCATTTAATACACCTAAGGGAGCTAATCAGGGTTGGTGATGAGTTAATTAGCTGAAACAGGTGTGTTAGATCTGAACTGAAGCTGAACCGGGACCTCTCATTTACATCGAGCTGAAGTTTGTAGCCTGTAACGTGTAGAATCAAGTTCATTTTGTCAATGGTGTCTCCCTTACTTGTGGCCCAAGTGCTTACTGGTTCCACAGAGGGTTGTTGGATTGAGTGTGGTGTGCCTCAACCTGCCCAACATTTACTGGATAAGCACAGTTTAATCCTTGGCCAAGGCCTTCATTAATGGATGCAATGAGCCAAATAAAAGTATTCAAATGATGGCATGTGATCACGGCCCAGCCAACAAAGAGGGTGCTTGGAAATTAGTTTTTCATTTTGTTTTTGTTCCTGAAAATGTTCCCCTCTGCTGCACTCTTTGCTGAAGTAGATTGCCCCTTTCTCCTCTGGGGCCGATGTGAGCGACCCTATTGTGTGTACAAGCACACCAAAGAGACCAAAGAGGATTGTACACTGTCTGTTTGTGGTGGTGCAACTGCAACAGGTAAGCTTTGAGCATCTTCAAAGTGTTTCTCTAGTTTAAGGAACACAATATCTCTAACTGCTGTACTTTCTCATATGGAGTTGCATGTTAAGTTAGAATTTACAATTAGAAAATTTTCAGATACTCCCTGCATCTTTTTCTTGGTTTCATGTTTGCATGTTAGCCTGTTCAATTAGCATGCATACACTTTTAAGATTTTTTTCAAGGGTTCTTTAGTTAAAAACAATGGTTCTCTATAGAACTATGAACACTCAAAGAACCATTTGCATGATTAAATGGTTCTTTGCATGGTGAACTGGTCCTTCAGATTGCATGTTGTGCATATAGTGCTATAGAGAACACTTTAAAATGATTCCTATATCGCTACGATATCAAGCTTGTTGCAATAGAACAACCCTTTTTGGTGTTACATAGAGCATTTTAAGCTTTTATATAGCAAATACAACACACTCTCCATCAATCTGAAGAACTATTTAAGCGTGAAATGGGCCTGTACAATGCATGGTTCTAAATAGAACAATTTCCTTTACTAAAGAACCCTTTGAAGAACTTTTTTAAAGGGTGTAGTGGATTTTTAAGGCTTTGATGGGCTCATTCTGAGAAACTCAGTAGTTGACTCAAACAGCACAATGTGGTGAATGTTTCTGGGTGTTTTATTAAACATCATTTCTCCCCTCCAATTCAGCCAAGACAAGGCAGAAATGACTATTTTGGTCCCATCAGTCATTTTTCAGGTACTTGAACAAGTGGCATCAATAACATGTCTTCTCTTACAATGTAATCATAACAAAGCTCTACAGGAATATAATAACATTTAAATTAATGGTTTGTGTGTTAATGATGGGCATTGCAGTTCTAAGGCCCATTTCAAAGTATTTTTTTCTCAATCAGCTTTTCTTTACTAAAAATCTCAGTCTCTAGAATATACCTGCATTCACAAAGCTAAGTCCTAACCATATTCTGAAGGATATTACAGAAGGATTTCCTCTGCTATTATCTGGATTTATGCTAGAGATTGTACTGAAAGTGACATGAAAAATGTTTCATAACAGTTCATAAAGTTTTCTTGATTAAAACACTGAGATCTCTAAAATCTTTTCTCAGCAGTGGACTTCTGACATCATCCCAAAGCTAGATTTTTGTTTTAAAAAAAAAAAATCTGCAAATGTATGCGTACTTCAGACAAGACCTAATTTGCATATCTACATGTATTTCTGTTGCAAAACTTCCAATGCAAAAACTGCTTGTAAGAATATAAGGAATCACCTGACAGAGACATTGTTACATCTATTGTTTAAAACAATGACCCTACTTGCCTTTAGTGTTTCTCCTTAAATCTTTGCCATAGGCCATGGAGATCACGGTGCCACCAGCAGAGCTTTTCACAACCAGGAGGAAGAGAGCAACACTTGTCTTTTGGAGTTGGAAAGAATCAACAAACAGATTGAAGCAGTCAGGAATGAAGTGGAGAAAGAGCAAAAGAGACTGTCCCGGTACCAGTCCGAGCAGGCGGAGAGCGCTAGTGCTAACTCCGATGAATATTTTAAGTCTAGACCGGCTGTTTCTAAAGACCAGAATGGAAACCGGCTTAAATATAAAAAGACAGCTGCTTATCCCTCTGCTTGCAAATATGTGGTTGATCGTACCAGACCTAAAACCGATCTGGAATATGACCCTTGTTCAAATTTCTCTTCTGACCTGCGATCTGGCAGCTCAAAAGATAAAATGAAGTCAACCAATAAAGCAGATCTGGAATGTCATCAGAGAGCCAAAGGAACTGCAAAGAGTGCATGTGTGGATCCAGTTCAGCAGGCATCTTGTAGTTTTGAGGATTCTGATGATGAAGGCACACTTGTCATTGACATTCCACCTCTTGAAAATAACACAATGCACAGCAGACCTCAGCAAAGCACAGCAACTAATAAAGACCTTGCTTATGTGGGAAATGAACCGGGAAGTAAAAGGCCTTCAAAGAAATGCACTGATGGTAAAAAGGTAACTGGAGAATATTCAGAGGTACCACCTTTGGAAAAGAACAATGAAAAGTTTAGGTCCACAAAGAAGAGCACAGCTAGCGCCATGAAACTGCTGGATTCACCTGAGAGAAATCTTGTAATTAATATGCCTAACCAGCAGAATGAGATGGGAAAGTCAAGGCATTCCAGGCTTCAAAGAAAAGGGTCTTCTGATGGGATGCACAGTCTTGTAGATGAAAAGAAACCCTCAATTCACTGCACAATGGCCAGTGAAGAACATGAGCCAACCAAGAGGCTGGTTGTCAGTGATGTAGAAAATGAGCAAAAGAGCTTGAAGCTAAGCTCAGACAGCACTAAAAGTGGCAAATGCAAAGAAGAGACCTCAAAACACCAACTGACTGAAACAGAAAATCCTCTAGAACCTTGTGAAAATGCTCGGCCTTCCTCATTTGCAGATATTCCAGTGTCTCTGCCTGCAAACAGTGTGAACCTTGATGGTTATGAAGAAAGAACCCAAAACATTGAAAATGTCCTAGATGACATCTCCCGATGCCTCGACCACCTGAGAAGTGAAAGTGAGAGCATCACCTGCCTTCCTGATGTCGAGGCTTTCCTTCTTGACAATATCCCTTCTGCAGCTGACTGTTCCAAGACGGATGGTGATCTTTTTCTACAGTCTGCCAAAGTTGGTGCACAAAGTGCGAATGCTGGGAGAACAGGAGTCGAGGTGCAACAAAACAGCCTTTCAAATTGTGCTCAAAAAGTAGAGACCTTGCCCCTTAAGCACCCACCACAGGCCCCGCAAGAAATGATGGTGTTTCAGGAGTACTTCCCTACCACATCATCTTTCCCAGCTGTGACCAAGGAGCCTGAGACTGGTCAGAACAATCTGACCTCTGTTGAAACATGTTGGCCACCTGCAAGCAAAGTTCTCATTCAACCTGTTGTTCAGAACATGCCTGTATGTATTTCTGGAACTGACACTGGATGTGTTTCTTCTGCACAGTCGGTAAAGTTGCATAACTCGGCAACCACATCAATAGGTTTGACTTTGGGTCAAGTTCAGCAAAAACCACCTTCATCTGTTCCCTCAGGCATCACCTATGGAATAGGCAGTCCTTCGCAGACCTCTTCACCTGCTTTAATGGATGCAGCCTATAATAAAGTCATAGAAATTGAGTCTAGCTCCTCAGAGGAGCTCAATTACTCGGACCTAGACCTTTCAGAGACTGATCCAATGGAAGAGTGCTACAAAATCTTCATGGAGGCCAACGGGGCTGAAACTCCTACAGCTCAATGTGATGAGCTGGTAAGTGGATGGGTATACAATGAGGTTGGGTTGAACCAGGAGGGCAGGAACTGATCCTGATCTTTATTTTATAGGAGGATGGCCCAAAGATGCCAGAGGCTGAGGAGTCTGTGAAGCCATCTCCTACTCAGAGGAAAAGAGTAGCCCATGTGGCAAAGTTTGAGGTAAATTAATATCATATATAACATCATATATAAGTTCAAGGGAAAGTTCAAACCAACAGTGCTAATATGGTTAAGAATACATGCATGCAAGCCTGCAGATCATGTTAACTTCTGTCACTGGTATTGCTTGCTTGCAACTTATATTCTCAAGCAAGTCTTCCTTGGGCTGCCTTACAAAAACTAGCAATTTTGTTCTATTACAGCTCCCAGTACACCTGAACCTAGATGATTGAGGTCCCTAGAACTTTGATAGCCTCATTCAGGTGTGGTAGGAACTGAAACAGAACAAAGATATGAACTGGCTAAGGGTTCCTCAAGACAGTGTCACGGAACTCTGTTACTAAGAGAGTTGTATCTCCATGATCACTCAGCAGGTCAGTAAGACCAAAGCGCAGGTTATCGTGCCTCTTAGAGATGGAGGCTCACAGCTACCCATTCCAAGCCGGAGTCAGCAGTGCCAGAAGAGAGCAACAGCGCTTACAGCAGCAATGAAAGGATCCCAGTCCTTTATTGCAGCCAGTGCACCCAAGAGAGTCTTCACACCTACTGTTATAGCTCCAAGCCCTGTACCAAATGGTGAGTATTATTATTAGCGCTAGATGTCCAAATCTAGTTTTAGGGTCTAGACAGACCAACCGTCAAGGAAGAACTAGTGCCAACTAAGACCTCTGCTGTGAAAATTTGCACTGTGTTAGAGTGCAAAGACTACAGCCGTGGGCTGAAGCGCAGGGCAGAAATGCTCAGTGCTTCTGCATGAAAGGAAACAACGTAGTGTGTAAAACTGTAATATATAAAATATGTTACAAAGTAAAGAGTATTGTTTGAACAAGCTTTAAATGTGTGTTTAAGCTAGACCTAGTGTAAGGAAGTGAAAGTAAATCACTGTTTGCTTGGGGCTAGTGGGTAAAAAGACTAAAACAGTGGCGGGGGAAAAAACCTTCAGGTGTCCATGTGTGTTTATTCGTAACAAATTTGGTTTTTTAGTTGAGGCTTGTTGGGAATACAGAGCTCAATTACTTTTAAATCTGAATTTGAATAGCACAAACGCCCCTTGGCAGTGGTGAAAGTTTGCTACTTACACTCGTGAAGAATGAGGCTACTTCCACGTGTGCCTTCTGGAGAGTGGCCACAGCTTGGTGTCGTAGTAGTAGTAGTAAAGATTTTTTTCAATAGTGATATTTTCTATGATTTCTTCAACACTGAGGCACACAAGCAATACAGTGCAGTAATGTAGCCCCCAAAAGGCATACCTGTTTATGCCAAATGGTGGAGAACTGTTGTGGTTGCAGTAGTAGTATTAGTGACTTCTTCAGCACCAAGGTTTTCTGTTTAGACCAGTAGGTTGTTAGCCAAGCTTGCATGTGCTTAACGGTGAAACTCTAACTGTTGTTTATGAGCACCTAATTGCCTAGCATGCATTCTCCAAAGATACATTCTGTATGTGTGACGTGTTTGTTTCTAACAGAGATTCTTATCTTTTAGCCTATGTGAACATCCTCCCGGTTGGTGCGACCCTACGACTAGGCTCAAACCTGCACTTGATCATCCCTGAAGGCCATTGTGCTTTACCGGTCACTCTAATTCCAGCTACTGTTCCTGTAACACGTCCACTTCATCAGCCAGTTCAGAACCTACAGCCTGTACAGCCTGCACAACCAGCCAACTACACACCTGCTAAGGTGGGTTCTGATGGTGGGATTATTTTTAAACACTTCTTCCCATAGATATCCTTTCTTTTCTTTTCCATTCTCATTTACTGAGGGGAACAAATGGTCTACAAATGAGTGTTAGAGAAGCATTATATAAATAAGCATTGTGTGCTTTGGGACTACTTTAGTATTGTTTCACCAGTCAATTCCCACCAAGCGCAAAGCGAAAGGGCGTCCAGAGGTCGGAGTGAAGGTTCCACATGATGTGCGGCAGCGATATGTGAACCTGTTTGTGGAGGAGTTCTTGAAATCATCTGCCACGGTGCAGGATGCCTTTGAGAAGGTTGGCACTATAATGATCCTGAAAGGATATACCCTGAATTTATCAAGCTGTAATTGTAGTACATATATGCTTTAACAGCCTATTTTATTCCTGTCATTATCTCTTACTACCTCCAGGCTCTGGCAGAAGAGAAGACCGTGTTTGACCGCAGCGTCAATAAATTAAAGTATCTAAGCATAGCAGTCAATGCTCTCAAGAGACTTAAAAACCAAAACGCTGCTCCTGCCAAATGTACGTAAATTTCAGCGCATAAAGTGCACTGAATACTTTTTAACCACAAATTGCTGGCATGGCAGTCTTTAGATAACCTCTCATGGCATATGCTGGTCAGACTCATACCAGGTCACTGACCCTGTTTTTTTACTGTACAGTTACCAGTGAGAGAGATGCACAGGCATCTAGAGGAAATGTGCCACTCAATACTCAAGCACTCCTGGGTAAGAGCGCCATTAGCTTTCATTTCAGGGTCACATTAAAGTGTCCATCCTCTTGGTATTAATATCAATTTCATCCGATTCATTATGTACAAATGCATTATGGACCGTGCTTTGGGGAAGGCAATACATTTAGTGTTTCATTTGCTGTACAGTAGAGAGAAATCGGACACTCAGCGGTGGTCCAGTTTATTTTTGACAGACAGGTCTTTGCCATTTTGTTGTTGAACTGACGAAGTAGCGCTAATGAGGGTCATAGTGGACTGTAATATCAAAATCATCAGAAGTGGTTTGCACTAATGCTGAATCAAATCACATGGCAATTATATGGTAATCAAAAGTGGTTTGCCAGGGGTCTCGTGTAATAATTAACTGAGTATGGGTGTTGATCTGGGATAAGCCTCATTTTCTCTTTCATACCCTATTGCAAGGATATAAAACTTCATTCCTTGAGAGCTACTGCAGATTGTTTGCTCTTCATTGGAACATCTGATTCAACTTAGGAATGCTTGGATAACTAGCTTCTGAGCTCAATCAGCACTGAATTGTGCAGTGCTGCGGCCCTCAAGGACTGGGCCAGACTTCTAGCTTGTAGTGGGCAATATACTGGTTCATCCAGTCCATGGTCAGAATTCTTTTTCAAGTATGAGTTTTATTATAAATTACACCGGCATGCTACAAATGACCACAGATAACACGACTTATCAGTACAAACCACATCAATGTTAACCTCTTTAGCTGGCTCGCTGAGCCAAAAGGACTAGTTGGCTTCCTATTTCAATTTCTAATTCCACTTTAAATGACACGGCAGTTACATTTTGGTGCATGTGCCATAATGTAACTTCTGTTCCATTTAAAGGGGAATGGAAAGTATGAACAAAAAGCCAACTTCAGTTTTGTAGAACTTTGAACATGAAACGACATTTTAGCACTGTTTTGTCAGGTGTGTGGGACTAGAGTTGGAAAGCTGTGTTGACGGGTTTTTCTATGTATTCAGTTTTGTCTTCACACAATAAAAAAATTCAGGTTTACTTTCATTTTTAATAAGAACCATTTTTAACAAGTCAAGGGACATCCCAGAATAATAAGCCACTGTTAACCTACAAAAATAGGTTTACTTAAGCATATTAAATGGTTTTACTTGAAAATAAATACATAGCAAAACTGTCGGAAATCCCAATCATACTTTGATGTTTTTGGCCATACTGCCTACTACTACTTGTAGCTTAATGAATGGAATAGAGTCCTGTGGTTTGGTTGGTAGTGTTTTTACAGGGGTATTCCAGCCTAAAATTGACAATATCATCATGTGTAATATTTTGAAGCAGTATTGCATCCCACAGACTCATCAGTCTGATAGATTTCACATTTCAAACAGCCTGTCCAAGTATTGGCCAGAAAGCCCTTGGAGTTTTTCAACAATTCCTTCCACTTCAATGATTATTGACTGGAAGGAGGTTTTCCTATTATTTAAACTGGAAAATCCCACACAAGATCTGGGATCATCAAGTGGAGGCCTATGGGCCAAATCAGGCCTTTTCAGGCATTAACTGTTTCAGGTCTGTTAAAACTATGCTAGGGCAAAGGTTTGAGCACTATTCTAGCATTAACTAGACACATGCGTTCTGACTAATTTTGATATTTAAGTAGTCATAGGAAAATGAACAGATATTTGGTTAACGGTGGCATCGTAATTAATATAGGGCTGTATGCTTACCATTAGCGTCACAAGAAATTGGGTTCAATCTATTTGATGACTCCTGCTCTACAGACTACTGTAGCACCACTGTAGTAGGCAAGTAGGCATGTTTGCATTTTAATTTTGTTGAGTGTGCCTTTTAAATGCTACATATAGATAAAAACTGTGGCTTAATATTGTGTGAATGCTTGAGTAATTGTTATGTCTACTACCTCCAACGAAGGTGATGATGCACTATATGATCAGCTGAAGGAGCATATTCTAACTGAGGCCATGTTGAGGGAGAACAACTATCCTCGCAAACACCCAGACAAAACTGGCTTTGCCGTTAAATATGGAGACACCAAGAAGGGCAATAGTGATGGTGGGTCCTCTAAAAAGAGAGTTTTCAGAGTGAATTACAAAGTTTAAAGCAGTTACATCTGCTCCTAGAGATGTACCCTGCTTCAGCAGTTACTTCCATCTGTAATCCAGCACATCTGGATTTAATATTGAGACTTTTAGTCGGATCAGTAGTGTTTAGATTAGTGTTGGCACTCAACTCTGCGTAGTGGTACTGTTCAAGGAGCCAACATTTAAAATCTACCTCTTGGATATTTCATCCAAGACTGAAATCAGAATGCCTTTGGACAAACTTTTGGAAAAACTGAACACCCAAAACAGGCTTGAGTGCCCTGACTGATGTTTGTGATGTGTTTGTGAGATGCATATCTTGTATAGTGGATATTTGGTGATTGAAGTGTTGACTGACCAAAGCAGAAATTGGCTACAGCTTACAGGAAGATTTGCTGTCGCTGTGGAACATCTTTCTCTGTTAGCCAGACAGGAAAGCACACTCGCAAGGAGGAGTGCAACTATCATTACGGGAAAATCATAGAAAACAGAGGTGAGGAATGATCTCACGTCCTTTATTTCATGAGCCTTCCATACCTGTGCATTATGGGGCTTGTGTCTTAACTGTGTCTTGTTCTGTTTGCTTTCTCTCGCAGTGCCTGGAGGAGTGGAGACGCGCTATAGCTGCTGTGAGAATGCTGTTGGTGCACCTGGATGCCAAGTGTTCAAGGTACAGAGACAGTGAGAAAAATGTTATGTGGGAGGATTAAGCAGTCTTTCTTTAACTTTGAGTAAGTTACTCAAATAAAATAACTGAGACCCCACTAGTTTCAGGTAACTCCATCCTTAGTTCAACTTTGAAAGATGCTAAAAAATGAGAGGGACTGTTTAGGGAAAGGGGGTGGGCACTATGATGAAATTCCACCAAGTAAACTGTGCTGTAGCTGACTTCTCGTGCTGAATTTAGTTACCCCTCTTGCTGGTGTTCCATGCGTCCTGATCTGAGACATATGAGTTGAGCTGGAAATAATGCATTGGTGAAATGATCAATCAATGGTCTTGTCAGAAAATCATCATAGGCAGGCAGGCAGGCAGGCAGGCAGTCAGTCAGTCAAGTCTTCAGCCATTTCTAAGAAACATTATTGAACCAGCCAGAATCACTCTGACTCATATAAAACCAACGTTTATTGACTTTTGTTGCTGTTTTATGTTTATTGTTAACACTGGAGTGAAATTATGTGACCTTTCATGGTTTTGCTGTGCGTTGGGAAATGGACCAGGGCACTGGATGGCTAGTCCCGTTCCCCCATTGCCTCTGCCTTTCCCACTTTCATCATTGTTAGGATAACATAACACTGAAAAATCCCATAGACTGTTTAGCAGAAATGAGCATGTTTGCAGTGGTGGTAATTTCTGGCATGGACAGGTCTTCTGAAACATGATTTGCTGTAGCAGCTAATCTTAAGAGGGGACCCATTATGCTTTCCTAGTTTTTCCTTTTCCTTTTGTGCATTATGTAGCTTTTTGTGCATGTTGAATGGTCTGCAAAGTCACAAAGCTCAAAGTACAGAGGGATAAACTCTTTCCCAAAGAAACCACTTTTCTTGGCTGCCTGAAATGCCTGGCTGGAATTACAGTACTTTTCCGTTGCTACAAGATGATGCAATCTCGTAACACAATTCTTATTGCCTGCCTACCGGCAGGCTTGCCACTCTCTTACACAACGCACAGCAACTACTGGCAGCTGGGGAGTGTTTGTACAGTTTTGCAGCTGTGTGGAGAAGATCGGGTCTCAAACGGATACGGTAAAACAGATGCTGTTGGGAAAAATAGGCACACCTGTTTACAACTGCTCAGGAGAGAAGGGCCTGTCTTCAGACTGCAAGGCAGGGGCAGAACATGTAGGGGTGAAACTGCTCTGGTGGTTGATGAATCAGAATAGAGTGGGCGAGCTGACCAATCATATCACACCGGGCTCATCAGGATGGGGGGTTTAAAGGCACAGGAGCTCTAACAGAACACTTTACAGTATGAGAAAAATGTTTTTTGGAACATTGAAGCATGTAAATCTATTCTAGTAGACCCCAAAAATAAAATCATGAACACTGAAAATGTGCATCCTTTAACATCAGGCGCTCACTCAGTCATTTAGCCTTTGCCAGTGGAACTGAAGCAATTATACAGACAGTTTGAAAAGAAGTATTAAAACTTAAACAAGACTGATATCGTTTACTATTACAAAGCAATATATTTTCCCAATTTTAATGAGGAATATCAGCTTTAGGGTGTAATTACTCTTTAAGCCTCATTCTGGGGCAGCAGTTAATGATTTCAGTAATTCAGGGGTGGCGAACTGGAGGGCCGCTTTGGTGAATTTCCTACTCTTAACACACCAAGTGAACCTGGCAATTAACAGTTGAGTTGAATCAGGTGTTTGATTAGGAAAATCTCCAAACTGTGCTGGACTCCGAACACAGCTCATGGTAAACATGGCAGTGCTATCATTTCATACTCAATGTGATGTGCAGAATATCAAGTAGGGCTGGGCCATATAGCAATGTTTATAATTATTGTGATAAATTACATAATGCTTATGTAGAGGATACTGTCAGTACTTAAAGAACCCTTTCCAATTGCATGTTAGTCCTGTTTAATTGGATTTAGTGCAGTCCAGTACGTGAAATGTTGAATACAAATCACTAGATTCATAGTTTGTGATTTAAAATGTGGCACTACTTTGACTGTTCTACCTTATTGAATATAAAAGAAAATATTTAGACATTGTGCACTGTTAAAAACTTTTTGAATCATGGTGATTTTTACATGTTTGCCATATTGCCCATCTCTCATACCAAGGGTCTAAAACCTGGCCCAGCAGGGAGCAAAAAAAATAAAACCGAAATCAAATGCATTAAAATTGTCTTCATCTTACACTTGTAGTGTTTTTGCTTTCTTAATGCAGTACTGTGATAGTTGGATAATCATGACATGCCTAGTGAAGTGCTTTATGTAATTACTAGCCTTATTCAGTCTTGACAAATCAAAACTTTATGCAACTCTCATCTATATTGTTTTTAAATCGCCAGCTGGGTTTTTCTGTGTTTTAGCTCCATGTTCATGATGCAGTAAGTCTTCAGGGCTTCGTGAGCAGCCTTCCTCAGACTCGTGTAGGCTGTCCAGGGATTTATGCAATAGATACTGTTATGGTAAGAGTTTTTGTTCACTTATTTATCCACTGTATGAGGTGCTGTTGAACTAAAACATTGTATCTCTAAAATGGAAACTTTACAGACGAAGGAAATAACATTCCTAATTAATGTAAAGAGATTTTATTCAAATCAATTTTCTATTTGATCCTTCAGCCAGTATTTTCAAATTATGAATTGAATTGAAAATGAATCAATTTTGGAGATACATTTTTGTTCCAGTAGCGACTTCCTATAAAATGTGAGCTCTCCTGAGCTTCTGGCTTCTCTTTTGAGTGTGATCACTTTGTCTCGGCCCGTTTCAGTGCTACACCACTCAGGGTCTAGAACTGGTGAGAGTCACTGTGGTCAACAGCAGTCTGCAGGTCATCTATGACACCTTTGTTAAACCTAACAATGAGGTCATTGACTACAACACCAGGTACACTTTGAGTTAATAATGTGTCTTGACAACTAACCATAAATAACATGAATGGGGAGAGGGATGAGATGAAGTCTTCCTCGCCCTGCTCAGGTTCTCCGGGGTCAGTGAGGATGACGTGAAGGGCAGCAGCTCATCTTTACAAGATGTACAAGCTGTGCTTTTGAGCTTCATCAGTGCGGCCACCATTCTGGTCGGGCATGGTTTGGAAAATGACCTGTGTGCTCTCAAAGTGAGTTGTATTAATGTTCTTATAGTTTCTCTTTCTCGTCAGCTTTAACACCCAAGAAAACAGTCTCAGTTGTGTTTATGCCAAGTGCAGCTACATGACTCGTTAGTTTGTTATTGTACAGCAGAACTTTCACTAACCTTCTTATATGCGCATCAGGAGCCTTAAGAGCTTGAAGTTGTGGTTTATGGTGCATATAGCATAGTAATTCTAAAGCTAATTATGTAAATGCAAAGGTCTCTTCTGAGGTTAACAAGTACATGATCTATTTTACATTATTCTACATCACTGTGCATTATCCTACTTATACATTATACATTATTCTCCATAGTAAATTTCAATGGAATGTAGTCCAGTCCATGTATATGGGTCATTCTACTGAAGTAGTTCAAAACACTGTCTGTGTACTACACATTTTTAAAATGTGTAGGGAAATTTAATGCATCACACTAATACTTAGCCATGCAACTGAACTATTTTCAATACTTTTTTGATAAATAATTTGATTTAATGAGTCTGACTTAATTTGATTTAATGTTTGATAAATGTTTGTGCTTTTCAGTATTGAGCATTACATGTTCCCAAGTCTAATCCTTGAAATTACATTGGAAAAATATCATACTTAATGTTTTAAAAAATTAGCACAAAAAATCTTAAATGTCATTTTACTCACTAGCAAGTTTAAGGGATATGTTGCTCTGGTCTTAAATAAAATAATGAATGGTACCAAACCATATACAAATAATCTCTGGACTAAATCCTGTTGCCACATCTCTAAATATATGGCCTCTTGACATCTTGACCATGTATTGAGAAGATAACTTGACATTTTGACACAAAATTATTACAAAGTTGGAAAATTTGAAATGGTGCATAATGAACACCTTATTGCGAAATATATTTTTAAATAAAATTTTATGTGAGATTGATTGCTGCTATCTTCTTGCTATAGACACATTTAGAGAAGTGCAAAACATCCAAAACAAATGTCAATGCCAACACCCATTCAGTTGTTACTGACATTTTGTTTTGGAAGTGTTTTTAAAAATAATGCATTGCATGCTGTACAACACCATAAAAGGTAACTTTTATGAATAATTATTCACAAAGTTCTTTTAGGCATCGGCAAGTATACAAGATCAATGTTAATTAATTTTAATATTCAAGTTGACATTGAGAAGTTGACAAATATTCCAAAGTGCCTTGACGTCTAAAACAGCCCTCAGCAAATGGCAAAAAAGGTTCTGTATAGCTTAGTCAACAGAAAGGGGATACAATCTGATGTGTTGGTACTGACAAATTTAGACAAACTGTGTAAATATATTTATATTCTGAAAATACATACATGGACTTCAGTGTTTGTTCAGTGAATTTCTGAATTTCAGTTAGCATGCAAAACAATGGTAAAGGAATTTTAAAAATTATATATATACTTTAACATTTTTTTTAACCCCCAGTTTGAACAATTTCTGTAGAATGACCCATATAGGCCCCAGCTAGCCTCAGAAAGTCAGAGAAAGGGAAGAGAAGGAAAGGCCCAGTCATGAGAACCATGTAATCCCCAACTGCCTTTCAGCTTCTCCACAGCACGGTGGTTGACACATCCGTGGTGTTCCCCCACCGGCTGGGTCCGCCGCACAAGAGAGAGCTCAACAGCCTGACGGCAGAGTACCTCAGGAGGATAATCCAAGAGAGCGGTAGGTTTAGCCAATTAAATCATTTGCTCTGTTAAGCCCATCTTTAATCAAGCATGTGACTTTGGCCAGTTCAAACCAGGAGCTGCTGGACCCTCTGAGCGTGTTTTCAAAAATCTCATCTTTATTGTGCATCAGCTCTTACTTAGGTTTTATTTTTCCCCTGAGAAATAGTTTATCATACAAGGTTAAGTTTGACATGCTCGTTGAGAATAAGTAGAAAATATTTTAAGTGGCAACAATTACTGACCCGCGTGTTCAAACGCAGTTTGTATAGTCTCCATAGAAAAGCATTGCCAGTAGAATAACACTCTGTAGCAGCCACACATGAGCCTGAGCGTCAGCTAGAGGGGTATAAAGACCCCTGCACTGGCCTGGGGAGCGATGGAACTGTGTTCTCTTGAGTGATGGGGCACCACTGAATATCTATGATGAGTTGTAGCAGCGTTTGTGATCCAGAACTAATGATCCAACATCAATATCTGACCTCATTAATAGTCTTGTGGCTGAATGCGATCAAATCAAAAGCAATGTTCCAAAATCTAATGTAAACCCTTTCTCGAGGAGTAGAGGCTATTACTAGAACAAAAGGGAACAAACTCTGTTAATACCCTTGATTTCAGAGGAAACATTGGATAAGCAAGTGTCTACAAACTTTTGGACATATAGTGTATGTTGCTTAACGCAAAACAGGGATGAAGTCACCTGACTTGAGGTCAGATGTTTTGTATGTGGTTTGAATTGGAAAAGAAATAGACTTCATGTGCGTCTCTGAAAGAATGTACAATAATGGGGTGTAAAATGGTAAATGAGAAACATGCATGCAGTAGAGAAGGTTCTGGAGGCACACTGCCCTGCACAATTTGGTCCTTTTCCTGCTTTAACACACCCACAACTTAGCAAGGGGATGACATTGAGCTGATTAGTTGGATTAGGTGTGTTGGGAGCAGTGAAAGCACTATTTCTTCCTGTGAGGTAGTAATAATTGAGTAGTTTCAGAATGATGGCCTACATTCAGATGCTCCTCAAGTGCTCCAATTAAAAAAAAAAAAAGCATAATTTAAACCTTTTTCAAGAAAAAAACATTGCATCAGAATCAGCCACTATTCAAGGTTTCAGTGGAGAGCCAAATTTACAGTAAGGGCTTTGAGTGTGAATTAGGCCTCGACTTTTATGGAAAACTGCTGTGGGAATGCTTATTGAAAATGATTTTTAAATAATTTGGGAAAAATGAATCAATTGCTCTGATCTGAATCAAGGTTTTGAAACCTGAGTTTTGCACACGACTTCAAGGTTAACAAGAATGTTCGGGCACACTTTATATTGATGGTCCCCTTATAGATGATTTACAGATGCTTAAATGATTAGCAAACTTTCTGCTGATACTCAGTTGATCAACAATATTAGGATCCATTTAAAAGAATCTCATGCTCAACATCAATTTCAGTTGCATTTAATAGATATTTTAGTGGAGGATAGACTGAGCATCTAGAAAGCATCCACAGTGGACCGTCAAAATTCAGTGTTACTGAATGTTTACATGTGCAGTATGAACTGAGAGTGCCATTAAAAGTGTTTGATTTCACTCTTGGACATTACATATTTTCTGTATGTAGACCTTTTTCCTAGATTATGTATGTTTTCATTTATAGAGATATTAAAAAAAATCTACTAATATTATTCAAGATATTCATCAACTGCTACTGAGAATTCATCGTAAAAGGCTGAACAAGGCAAACTTTACAACATTACAAGTACTATGTATAACATGGAAGTGAATGCTGCTTTCAGCATTGCTCTGTTATTCACTGGAATATGATGTGTTATCGGTATTACTGTATGCAAAAACATCAGCAGTACTTCTGATTGATCTGAACTCTACATCCTGTGTAGGGATCTTCAGTTCTAGTCCTCGGGGCCTGGTGTCCCGCACTGTTGGTGAATTTCTAGCTTAAGCACACCTGATTCAACCTTTCTGTTGACTGACAAGTTTAAATGGTGCTTTTTGAGAGGAGCAATAAGCAAATTGTGCTGGACCCCAGGCCTCCTTGGCTGGAGTTTAATGCCCCTGTTGGTGTTATGAAAGCTCTGGGTTTCAAAAGAATAGAATGGTCAAGATTGTCACACTTGATTCTACCATCACTACTATTTAAATTACTACTCATCACTAAATCACTAATCACTTTGATAAAAATTCATAGTTATCCATAATTGGTGTCTCCATAATGATCTGGAATTAGTCTGTACATGAATGCATAGTCATGCTAAGTAAGAACCATGTTATTTCAAACAGTGTTTCTGTTCATGTTTGTCACAGTGGAGGGGCATGACTCCCGCGAGGATGCTGTGGCCTGTATGGAGCTCATGCTGTGGAAAGTGAAAGAGGATGCTAAAGTGAAAAGATGGTGACCTCATCAATAAAGCTCATTGCTTCTTCATCCCGATATACAGTACTGAGATGTATTCTAGGACCACCTGCTTATATAAAAATGTTCACATCTTGTCTCTTGTTTTGGTGTGGCTGACAATGTTAGCCTATGAATCATGAATTATGTTTATTTATGAATGTGATTACTTTTCTATTATTTATGTTCATCTAATGGTTATGTACTTTTCTTTTGAACACTATTAATGAAATAAAAATGATGGGGGGGTGTGGACACATGCATGCTGGGAGAGAAAGTACACTTAGAAATGTTGGGGAAGTTGGAACAGAAAGTAAACACACTGCAGTGATCCTTGTGTGGAGAGACTTCTTTGAAAATGAGTTGGAGTACTCGTGTGCATGTTGGCACGCTGGCCAAGCTGTTAACCTTGTTAACTAATTTGCTGATTGATTAATTGGCTTCAAAGCCTGAATCATTGCTGAAAGTCAATATCTGACCCTGGCCTAGTTTGGAAAAACTTTTGCTCAATGCCAATACACCACCATCTGCTTTCTCTGAGTTTCTTGTTTTTACATCTCTCTTTAATTTGCTACTGATTCAACAACATGAAGTTTAGATTGTGATTAGCTGTGGACCAACCTCTGAGACTGTAAGCTGAATGCAGTTTTTTGGGAACATCTTAATATAAACTTTGCAGAGTATACTAAACAGTGAGTAGTTGATTATTCTAAAAGCATTTAGCCCAGTTGTCAATTATTTTAGGCCAAACTCTAAATATTTAGCTCTGTGTTCATTTTGATGTTGAAGTTAATTTCTATAGGACTAATCACTGTGTGAGACAAACCTCTGTGAGTAGGATACTCTTAAAGCTAGATAATTATAAATGGAGAAGTATTAGAAATGTCTTGTTTTTGTAGTAGGTCTCATTTTCACCAGCTTTATTGATGTTTTCCTAAACTCATTAGCTGAGTAATAATTTATAGTGGAGCAAATCTGGAAAATATTTTTTTCCTCTCACCACAAGCCATAGTTGGGGGAAAATAATAATAGTAAATATACCAACTGGTATTTGTTGGTAATCTGTGCAGGCATACAGTTAGAGACTTTAGCCTAGGGGTCGGCAACATTGGCGGCTCCACAGCAGAATTAGATGTTTAGGTAAAAATAAAATCTTCCTTTGCAGTAAAATAAAGCTCTGCTGATCATTCTAACACAGTTAAATGCTGGAGTTAGGCCCAATCCTATTTTACCCCGTGCCCCTACCACTTAGCCCTGAGCCCTCCGTTTTGCGCATTTACGCCTAGGGGTAGGGTGTCCCGATTTTTGTTGAGATGGAGGGGTAGGGCGAAGTGTTAGGGCTGCAAAACCATCAAGATGACTGCATGAGCAACCACAGAAAATGTGAGTATTTTCTCTGTTAAAAATTCTAAAAACAATTTTGTTATCTTAGTTTAATGTAGTTTCAATGTATCTTTCAATGTATTATGGTCCTTTTCTTCATAAGAAGCAGAAAACTAAGCTAATTGCATGCTAATGTCTAAATAACTAGTTAGCTAAATTTCCTGTTCCACCTTGAATAGTCCAGCTGTACTGATCCCTGAAGCGTCAGAATATAATTGCTGCTTTTAAGGAGAAACAGGAAGGTACGAACAAGAAAGCAAAGAGACAGATTTAAGATGAACATCAATAATTTAGAGATGAATGGACAGACTCATTTGCATTTATAAGCACTCCAGCTGGTTTCCTGATGCTTTTAATCTGCAATGAGAAACTGCCAACCACTAAAATGTCGCAAGCTGAAGTCAGCTTGTCATTCGCCAGCTTCTTGTTCGAGTTTTCCCGTTCCAGCTTAAATGGTGCTTGAGGCACCAGAATGTGCAGCATTTAAGCTGGAATGGGAAAACTCGAACAAGAAGCTGGCGAATGAGAGGCTGACTTCAGCCTTGTAAATAATCTAACGTTAAGAGACATTTAACAAGAAACTATTCTACTTTTGCGGAAAAGTGTTCCACCAGAGATGCGAGAAAAGTGGCTTTAGTTCAGCTACGGCTTAAATCAGAGCAAAGAAAGTCTGGATTTGTCCTTTATATTATATTTTTAGCCTGTACTAGTACATTAGCACATACTGAGACATATTTACAGTCAAGATGGTGAAATGTTACTTTAATAAAATGAACATGGCTCCCATGGCGGTGATTTTTTGTTGAAACGGGACAAAATGGCTCTTCTTAACATTTTGGTTGTTGACCTCAGCTCTAGTCATTCATCAGTGGTCAGTTTCTGAAACCACCACTGTTGGCTGGATGGGGCTGCCAAATTTTACACCAACAGAGTCAGTCAGTGATTGTAAACTTAGAAACTGCACCTATATGGTAGTTGTTCCAGATAAAATGGACAGCAAGTATGAGTATTTCATGTGGTGTTTCTGTTATTGCATTTACTCCCTGTACTACAGCTGATGCTTGAGGACTACTGGAGTACTGAAGATTTTATTAGGTTACATTGGCTTTGACCTAGAGATAGCGGCTACATCTATTGGGGCACAGCTTTAGCTTTCTAACTCAGAAGCTACTGTTCCCTCCCAGATTTAGTTGTAACCTGCGGTTACATTGGATCAGAGCACACTGGAGGCGATCTCTGGCACCTTTTGTTCATGTGAATGACAAAGGGAGCTGAGCCTTGCTACTGCAGTTTGATGGAAATGTAACTCATTCACACCAGTAAACCATGCTAGAAATACCAGCAAAGCCGGTCACCAGCAAAAACAGCACATGTATTTTGGATGCTGGAATGCTGGTCAGCAGCAATGGAAGTTCTGCTGACCACCATCAAAGCCAGCAAATGTTGTTTTTGGAAGCTTGCCAAAGCTGGGCGACCAGCTAAACCAGCACAGATCAGCTTAGGCCAGCATAGACCTCATGCTGGTCTGTGCTGTTTTTTTTAGCAGGGCAGTCTCCGTAAAATCCATTTAATCATCTGATGTAATAAACCACGGCAATAAAAAAATCTTTATACAGTTTTTTGACTTGTTTTACCAGCTGAATGTTGTTAGAAGTACTTAAATATACACCTTGCTAACTGGTTGCTTGCAACTGTATTTGGTGATAAATATTATTAATCAGCTGGATATTAGTTCAGCAGAGTTAAATTGGTTAGTGATGTTAGATAGGAAGGCTGTGGTTTACAATAGTTTGTTAAATCTGATAGGAAGTGAAGTACTGCAGAGATGAACCATTATACAAGCTTTGTAGATAAACTGTCTCTACCACCAGTCTCTTAAAAACAAAAGGAAGCTACTCTATCTACACCATTTTTTGGGCCAACTGCATATAATCATTCCTATGTTGCAGAGGACCATGGAAAAAATAGGGCTCCATTACTTAGCTCATTTAGCAAGGCTGAACATACGCTGGACCTAGATGCGTTGGCATGAATCACTGAACTGTCTGCTTAACCATTCCATTCACTTTGTCCAACTAGAAGCTCTGTATTGTAGTGCCAGACCATGGTTCCCACTGCTGCTGTTTTTCCTGAAGCGTTCGCCAAAGTAGCTCCCACTCAGGAAGGACTTACTGTCCCTAAGTGGAGGTTGAATGTGGCACCCGCACCTGGTGTGCTTTCCATTATGGCTTTGACTGTTGGGCCAGAGGTGCAGACGATGGACTGTGAGCCTGGATAGTCTTTGAGACTATCTGGCATTCGAGAGCCTTGATTATGCGGGTTATGATGGTGTTCAGTCTTCTACAGAGCTGTCTGGATGAGGAATGCTTCCTTATTTTCACTTAAATGTATGTGTCTGCAATTTCTACTGCTCGCAATGCACATGGGTGGGTTATACTCTGGTGAACGTTATTTGGTCTTTCTTAAGCAGGGTTCAAATTGAGGCTTTGAGAGGATGGTTTGCGGTGGTCTGATTTTGAGGTAATATATATTGCATAGCTTATTTATATGTGTAATACTAGGCAGGAGTCATTTAGCATGAAGACATTGCAAGCAAGTCTAATAGCCTACCTTTTCTCAGTTTAGAATTGGCATTCAATTTATCAGAAAATTACAGTTTTATTCAAGGAAATAAATGGGAGTTCAATTTTCTCTCTCTAATTGGATGTTCCCTTCACAACAGCGCTCACTTTTTATTATTTACAGCATGATCGGAACGTGACCGTGTAGGTCGACTTGGTCAACAGACTGCTAACCCTCCATGTTTAAGCTGTAATGTAATCCGATTTGAATCACATTCTGAACCACCTACAAATTCGACATGAATCCGATTGGGGGAAAAAGTCAGGTGTCATGGCTTTTTGCCATTCAAAATCTGTCCTGCTCTTGGTGTTAGACTTTTGGTGCGGTATGCCCTTTAAGCCACTGTCTCAGGCAGACCTCAAGTGGATTTTGCCAAAGACCACAATTCTCCTGGCACTTTCCTCAGGAATAAAGGGATCCTTGTCCTTTGTCAAAACAGAGGCTTTCATCCTGGGTGGTTGAGGTAATTTCTATGGCCTCCCTAGCAGTCATCACGGGGGTCAGTGTATTCTTGCTCTACCTCAGAATTTCTACATTTTGGGCACTGCTTAAGGTGTCTTACTGGTAGACGAGTGCACCAGCTACCTGGTCATTGTCCTGCACGTTCGTCCAGTTCTGCAAAATCATTGTGGCCTTTCCTCATACAAGGAGCTTAAGCTGAGCATATCTTGGCTTCAGTCTAGATGAATGCCATTTCATGTGAGTTTTTGTTGGTATTTGTCTGTAGTATATTTTTACGAGGTATTTTTGTGAGTTCAGACCGTGCCTAAAACTTATGTGGGTAGTCAGAGAATGAGGAAGGGGAGAGAACTGAGAACTTGGTCTGGAGTTCTGGGTGGCTGGAGATTGCCAGACCCCACTTTAGGACAGTGATAGGACTTACAGATGGGACTGAGGAACAGGAGAAAATCGGATGATGGTGGGGATTGCAAAAAAATTGGCATGGGCATTAGATTCAAAGGAGGAGAGGTTTCAGGCTTTCCCTCAATTTTCAGTTAT